GTCATTTACAACTGCATCTCGCAAATGAACGTATTCTTCAGAGCGAAGCTTGGTCTGATTCAAATGGATGAATATCAAACGTTCTGTTTCGATTTTTGCATACATAACTAAGATGTATTGGTGAAGCAATTGACGGCATTTCAAAATGTGATTGTCTTCATTCTCTCGAATCATTAATTGGTATGAATAATAGTTCATTGCGCTGCATTTCATATTTGTTCATTCGCTACTGACTGGATTTATCATCTTAACGTTGAAGTGATATCCATTGGCACCATCCCAAAAAATGATTGGATATTGCAGGGTATCGTAGCATCGATGAGTTTCTGCAACTTTTGTTAATTGATCGTTTCTCCGATGAAGAACAATATCTCTAGGTTGGAACTGATCTCCGACTATAACAATTGCCACTTCATCTATAGTTGGAGCATTGAATCTTCGCACATGTTCTCCAGCAGGCGTTTTGTCAGCATGAATAACAATCTTGTGTGTATCAGATGGCATCATGTCAATTGCTGTTTGAACAAACGCACTAAATTGTATTTTTCGTGAAGAAGCTCTTGCAGTTGGGAAACGATGGACCGTTTTATGCCGGTAGAAATTCCGCAGCGTGCATTCAATTCATCATTGCCATCATCGATGAAATACATTTGTAGGAATTTATGTTGAACATCTGGGAACGGAAGCAGGGAGCCGGATTTATGATAAATTTGTCCTTTCACTTTGAAAGTTGGCATGAATTGAGCTGTTACGATTTCTGCGCCGAACGATGTCATTTGGAAGCATAGTTGTATTTCCTGATGTTAGATAGGTTTCGTGAGTATAGTTTATTTTTTTCATTGTTTTTCATTTCGTTTTTTTAACTGTTTTTCTTATTTTTCAGTGCAATTGTCGGTGGAATTGAGCTGTGTCGCTGATCTGCGTTTGAATTGAAATATTTCGTTAGTATTTTTTTTGTTTTTTCTTAGTTTTTTAGTTCGTGTTTTTTCCTTTTTTAATGTTTTGCAATTTTATATGTTTTTGTTATAACTTTCTTTCTTCTTTTTCAGTGCAATCGATCTGCTTTAGTTCAACCAAATAATGCCTCGCAGAAGATAAAACTTAGGTCGTCGTACTCGCGGAGCGGAAGCAGTGCGACGAGTAATTGCAAATCAAATTGAGGAAGAACGGGCATCAGCGAACAAGCGAAACAGACAAAGAATGGCTCAAATACGTGCCGAGGAAGCAGCAGAGCGACGTGCAGCCAGACTTGAGGATGCACGGTTGCGAGCACGGTGATTGCGTTCTGCAGCTTCAGATCTGCTTCGTTCTCAACAGAATGAATGCGACAGGCTGAGAGTGGCTGAAAGACGTCAACGAGAAACAGCAGATCAGCGTCAAAGACGACTCCGTGCTCAGCAATCACGCGATTACAATCGCCTTGCATTCCGGTACAACCCAGTTGATGATTATAGTTTGAGCGGGCATGTTCTCATCAGCACTATTACTGAAGTGTGTCCTTATTGCAAGGCTCTGAAATTTAATGGAAAAACGAAAGGAATGTGTTGCGCCGTCGGAAAAATTAAACTGCCTCAACTTGGAGAACCGCCAGAGCCATTAAAAGCTTTGCTTGCCGGATATACCGCCGAATCAAAGCATTTTGAACGCTATGGTAAACGACACAGCTCAATTCCAACGCAATGTCACACGAAATAATTAAATCAAAATGAAAATAAATCGAAATCTATGAAAATTCAATTTAACAATGCAATCGGAAACAATGAAATGGAATCGTAAAATTGGAAATTTATAAATCGTAAATGGATCGTAAATCGGAAACATTGAAATGGAATCATAAAATATTTAGTATAGCGTGTGTTACTTTTACGTTCAACAGATGGCGCTGTTTTTAAAAAAGAAGCATGTTTTTACCTGTCACAGGTGTGACATTTATTTAATAGTAGGTATATAAAAACACGCGCGTATTCGAATGCAACGTTGTGTCAAAATTTCAAACCAATCGGCGAAGAACTTTCGGAGGTGTAAGATTTTGAACAAACGAACATTTACATTTTTATTTATATAGATGCACAATAGCATTTAAGTGAATAGATTTTGACTTTTGCAGTTGTTATATTGTTTTACATTACAAACATTTAAAAGAAAGTGTCCTGATAACATTACATTTTTTTTCTGTAATTATAGTTTTATTAAACTGAAGCCCTAGTATTATATTTATTCAGTTACAAAGTAATCTCCATATTACCCTACCCTGATCTGTGTTTCAGAATTTCGTGCTAAGCAGCACAAATGCTATCTGCGTATAGCCGTCCCTAATTTCCATCCCTGTCACACCAAACATGCTCGCCCTTTCAGTCGTGGGGGCGTTATAAAGTGACGGTTCATCTTACTATTCGTTGTAAAAGAGTAGCCCTATTTTTTTTCTTAACATAATAAATATTAAAAGTGCAATAAAAATACATAAAGTTATGAACAATTAAAAAAAAAGACATACTGTTTTTAAGAATTCTATCAATATAAAATTAGATGTAGGAGATCCAACCCCTCCAAAATAACCTTCGTCATTTCATCCTGTGTCGAGCTGTTCTGATTTGGTAGTTTTGCGAAATTAGATATGAAATTAGATGGGGGATGCAACCGCCTTCTCATGGTATCCTATACGGCCAGTTCGTTTCATACTAGAGAAATGTGTTCCTGACTGAATATGTTATTGAGGATGATCGAATTTCCTGAGTTCTTTGAAATAATGTAAGCAATTTTGTTGATCAACAGGTGCTACTGGATAAATAACATTGTGTTAATCTCACTAAAATCTCATGTGACGTATTTTTCTCTAATGACAATAACTTCTGTGCAGCCCACTCCCTTTTTGTATGTGTATGTCTGTTCCAGCTCCATCAGTTAAATATTACGATTGAAGGTTTGGAGCGTAAAATATTAGTGATTATTCTGTTCAGTTGTTATTAGTACTATACAGCTTACAATGCTAATTATTGATAAACACAGGAAGGTAAATATGTTACCATTTAAATACGATAAGTTAAAATGATATACATTTGGACACCACAGATTATAGATTTTTGTCTGCTATATCTACCACAAAGATTTTACTCAGGTTACTAAGTCGCTGAATTTATAAAAGGTTCACCATGCGCAAAAATATATCCTTCAACACAGGAATGTGGGTGTTATCTAAGATGAGCCACTTAACGTGGTATTTAACTGTATTATATATCATAACTGGACACTAAATAAGTAAATTTTAAAATATTATATTTTTATTAGTGTCTTAAAGGATTTTATTATTAAGTGAACAAAACTATTGTACACGAGAGACATGAACATGTGAATCATATTTTTAATGGAAATATTGTTAATGATTCGATCAGCATCGGAATATCAATCAATCTTATTTCAAAAATGCTTATGCAGTAGTACAAAGGTTTGCGATTTGATGTTTTAGCGCCTTTGCGGACAAACCCTTTAAATAAGTATATAAATGATATTCTCCATCTAACCGCACCTCCCACAGTGGCTCAACGGTAGCTCTGTAG